TGGGCTCGGCACTGGCCGCGCACCGGGCGTCCCCCTGGGCTGGGCACTGGCCGCGCAGACTCGTGGGGCTGGAAGGGACCTGCCATAAGACAGGACACTGCAGGGCTACACGCACCTGTGAGCTCACCCAGCCTGGTAGTTCTAGTCTAGTGTTCTTCCCACTCTGTTCTCCCAGACTCGTGGGGCTGGAAGGGACCTGCCATAAGACAGGACACTGCAGGGCTACACGCACCTGTGAGCTCACCCAGCCTGGTAGTTCTAGTCTAGTGTTCTTCCCACTCTGTTCTCCCCTGTACACGGAAGGAAACGGGAGCTGGGGCAGGCACAGAGAGAGGGAGAGGGAGAGGAAACAGACAACAAATTCCACTTCAAAGCAATGGGAGATTAACACCTTTGGAACCACACACAGTACAATGTCCATAACAATTGTTTGCATGTTTCCAAAAGCCTCTCGCTGAAAATATTGTAGTAGAAACAATTTGGTCAGTTCTGCTATGAATAGCGATGTGACTCACACACACCTCTCCTCCCCCACCCCATTTATAAACAGCAAGTCTTTGTCGACATGCAAAAGTTGCACCATTTTGGCTACAGTAGTGAAAACAGTACAGGCTACCTACTTGGTGTGATGCAGTTATAAGAATGCTTCTAGTACTACCTGCCCAGCTCTGATCAAGCACTTTTCATCGGAAGTTCACCCGGTGCTTTACAAAGGAGAGCACTATCATCATCCCCATTTTACAGAAGGGGGAACTGAGGCACAAGAAGACAGTGTCTTGCTCAAGGTCACCCAATGGTAAAGCTGGGAACAGAACCCAAGTCTCTCACGGCCTCATTTAATTCTTAGTCCACTACACCACACTGTAAGGGGAGGTAGCTCCACTGAGCTCTGGTACCTTTATACAATAAAAAGAGTCCACATGCGTACTGATAACAAAATCACCAGTGTCCCTGGTGCAGCTTGACTGCGAGCTCCTGTTAGCAAAGCCAGGCCCTGAGAGTGAAAGCCGGACTACAGGGGGAGGTGCCATCTCAGGTCCCTCCTGGCAGCCAGCTCAGGGTGGAGCTCACCTGGGTTTACTGTGACTTGCCCTCCTCGGCCATGTCTAGACTGCACTGCTTTCTCAGGGTACCGTAGATCCAAGGAATGTGTCCACTTTTTGAAATTTTTTTTGAAAAATTGGAGAGGC